TTTTTTCTTTTTATATTTTTATTATTAAAAGTATTAATTTTATAAAACTAATAAATAAATAAATAAAATTAAAGAATATGGATCTATTTACACACAAATTTTTATTATCATACTTACACAAAATCTCAAATATTCATCTTTTCCTAAATTCTTCTTTTTAAAAGAAAAAAAATTCCAAACCATAGTAAATTTGCCATATAGCTACGGACAAAAACCGTAGCCATATGGCAAAAAATCGTAGGTATTGTTCCCCCAAAGTCTATGCTTCCAGTCAAAAGGATATAAGCACATGTAATGCGGCTATAAATATTTAAATATCTAGCTATGTTTGTGGTCATATTCCAGTTTAAGTGAAAAAAATAATCTTAATCCATGCTTCTTGTTCTAGTTTTTGGAGGTTAAGGCCTATGGCAAAAAAAGATCTAGCTAGTTGAAAATCAGATAACCCAGTTCTTATAGCATGCTTCTTGCTCTAGATTAGGTGGTTAAGGTTCAAGCAAACTGGCTTCTAGCCTAGAGTTTTATTTTGTAATGTTTCCCCTTCTATTCAAAATTTCTTAGCCAAATCTACGGCTATAAATAACAAATTACTTAGTTGGATCTTCACAATTTCAAGCTCATATGCAAACTTGATTATGAGCTTCTCAATTATGATTAATACAAAAAAAAATTATAATTTTATTTCAATTGATTTAATTTTCAAATAAAGACTTAATTAAAATAAAACGAAAGGAGTAGAACTGAATATGAATATATGGAAGGATCATATTGAAATAAAATTAAAGAATTAGGATCTATTTAACTACATTCTAATTCTTTAATTTTAACATAGTATAAGCTGATAAAAAAAAAAGGGAAGTATTTAATCCAAAAATAGCTAGCTTAATCGAATACCTTTGAGTTTAGCTTGCTTGATTACCTTTGAGATTACGTTCTATCTTTTTTGAGCTTGGTTGATACTTGAACTTGATATTATAGAGTCTACCTTAAGTTCAAGTACTTAATCGACTTGGTGTATTTACAACTCTAACCAAGCCTTATAACTGCTGTAGGAATTTTCTTAAAAGAAGGCAATTTTTGAGATATATTAGGGGGCGAGAAGAAAGGATGCCAAGGAAGTCGAACCCCGCCTGGCATTTGGAGGACTGGTCAGGATTTAACTTCATCAAGAAATTAATTCAATAATACTAGTAAAAAGAGAGATGCACAAATAAATTTGATAAGGTTTCCTCTAGCCATTCAATATTCAAGGGAGTATGTGAATGGTTATAGCTCTTGTACAGGTTGTCGTGTAGTATAATACCTATCTCTTTAGTATGAAAATGATATTGAAGATAATCTTATCTTACATTTTCATGTATCCGTTTGTGCTGGAATGGTTGTGATGTGAGTATGATTGTAAGTCCTTGTCTATGTGATAATGTTCTCTTTGTTTGTGTAGATAATGTTTGGCTTTTATTATTAGTAAATAATTTTACTACTCCTAAAAGAGTATTTTAAGTGATTAAGAATTTGTTAATTTAAATTGAAAATTTCAAATTCCAAGTGAAGAGGAATTAATAGAAAGAAAAAGTTACTCTCTTTTATATAATTTCATTATCTAATATATCAAAAAAAATTAGTAAATAATTTTTCTTTGTAAAAATAAGATTATGGTTTTGATAATTACTCCACAAAAATACATCAGAAGCATAAAATAAAACAATCTACGTTTTCTTATGAATTCGGTGAAGTTATCAACAAGGACTTAGTGAGTTAGTACCAAATTAACTTTGAAAAAAATTGATCTTGAGGTCAAATTCGGCGTCTGAATTCCTACAATGTTTTCCACAACCTATTCTTGGTGAATAATTAAACGAAAAATAACTTAAGAAGTTTGGGCTTGGGCTGGGTAGTTTTTTCGGGTATGAACACTTGAACAGGGCTTAAGCCCACTAATAGGTGGATGTATGCAGACTTCGCGACGGAATAAAAGATCATGCATTTGATTTTCTTTCTTTTAACTTTTCATTTTCATTCATCGTTTTCAGCATACCAGCCTTCCTCGGTGACTTAATAGGTACACCTAATATCTTGTTAATAATTAAAATTTAAATTTTAACATTGTTATATTATAATTTTTCATCTTCTATCTCTATATTGTATTTGTTAAAAAAAAAATTCATTTTTGCCTTTTTAATAATGAAAAAATAACATATTTTACTATCTAAACTATAAAATACCAAATAATTTTTGAAAATTTAAAAAATATGTAACTTAATTTTTTATCTTGATTTAACCAAGGGGAACCATTGAATGTTAATGTCTTTAAATTTCAAATTCAAACAATTTGTTTCACCCTTTTAGATTAAGTTCACTAATAAGTACATATTGTCTTCTAGACCATATTTTAAGTTTTAAGTCTTGAGACAAATAGTTGAGAAAACTTATTTTCTTTGAATGCAATACGAGTTTTGAATGGCGTACCCTTGATTGAGATCTTTCAGATGAAAAATTAATTTTGAAGCATATACAGACCGACTCAGAAAACAACTGTAACCGTCCAAGAAGAAGGAAAGAGCTTATCTCAATGTCATCTAAAATTAGAGTCTTAACTGGTAGTCTCATAGTTGATTGAACCTTGAGATCCAAAGAAAGAGATTTGGAAAAGATATGGCTAACCTCTAAAGGTTACCCTAGAGTGATTACCAAACGACACCACATCCATTAACATAAAAACAGAGGTTATCAGGATCTGGGGATAAAGTGTGACCAGAACAAGGAAACTCTTCCAAACAGGTAAACAAGTTGCTGATGGAGGTAACATACACAAATAACTGTTCCTCCCACGATATATACGAAGATACTGACCATTATTCAAATTAACATTCAAGATTGATTTAAGTATGAGGTGACATCTGCCATCCTCCTCTCTGTGGACCACCAGAAGAATGCACGTTCAACCTGTCAAGCACAGCATTAAAATCCACTGGCTGCCCAGTCTCCTCCATCCTTTGTATCACACTGGCAACAACATCACCCCTGAAACCCATGCTCACCAATTTCTCAATCAGGTCACCATAGGGATGACTGCGAATGTATTGAGGGTGGCTAGGGTTCCTGACCATAAGACTGGTGCCTGTGCTGGGTTGAGGATTCTGAAGAGAGGGATTGTGTGGGGGATAGCCACCCTGAGCAAAGTGAGGTTGTTGGGATGGATGATGATGTGTTCTCCCCCCTTCACCATCATACATCATATATGCACTCCCTGGAGGAAGAGAGGGATGGGGCCCAGAAGCTGGATAGCCATCAGCTGCTTGTGCTCCAAAAGTGCCTTTGATTTGCTGAGGTGGAGGCTGCTGTGAAGCTGTTCTACCAGCTGCACCATATCCATAGGGGACAGTATCAGCCCTGCTAGATACAGGTTGAGGAACTCCTGAATATGAAACTTGCATAGGCATACTGTGTGGCAGAGGCATACCGTGTGCCAATGCCTCTGGTTGAGACTGGTTTGTAGTTTGGGTGGGAGAATAGGAAGGATAAACAGTTGATGATGGGGGTCTGATCTGTGATTGCATAGAGGATGGTTGCTGTGATACCTGTTGTGGTAATTGCTGTGGCCATTGCTGCTGATACTGAGGGAATGGTTGATTCACTGGCATCTGATTTACTTGAGAGACTGTAGGCTGCGGTGCCATCCTAGAGAGGTCTTGCATCTGAGGTGTTCGGAATTGAGGATCAGAAGGCAAATATTGACCTTGGGGATGTTGATTTGGGATGGATGTTGGGGCTGGGGCTGGGGTTGGGGCTGGTGTTGGAGCTGGAGCTGGAGCAGGAGTAGGAGCAGGAGCAGGAGCAGGAGCAGGAACAGGGGCTGGAACTTGTGGGGTTGGTATTTGGTTGGCATGCATATAGTAGGATGGTTGTTGGGTCAAATTCTGAGCTGGGGCCTGAGAAGGGGGCACAACAGGCTGTTGCTGTGCAGTTAGTTGACGAGGCAGGGCAAGAGCTAATTGCTGGCTCTGCATGTCGGGTGTATTGTCAGTTCTTTTAGGATCAGAAGCAGGTGGTGATGCTCTCCCCTCATTGGCTTGAGAATGGCTGCAAGATGAAGACTCCTTCTGTGCAAGTTGCAGCTTGGCCAACTCCTTCTGAGCATCTGCAAGTTCCTGCTTGTCCCTTAGGATCTGCACAGACCTATGGACCTACAGTGGGCAATTAAAGAGTCATTCTCAGAAATTGAAGAACAATCAAACATATGAAGATCACTTGTAGGAACAAGAGTTTTATATAATAATAGTTTTAAATTTTGATCAGATTGGAATTTATTTTTTATTTTTTATTTTTTATTTTTTGCCAAGGCCGAGGTTTAAATATGCATTTTGAAATACAAACTAGGACTCAATCAAAATGATTCATTTTTAATAATATGAGGTCATCAATCATAAGTTATACTCACCTCCTGAAGATGCTTCTCGATAAACTTAAGCTTTGAATCAGCCTCCTCATGGTCACGAATCAAGTCAGATCGCATTTCTCCAATTGATTTATCAAGATTATAACAATATAATTCCAACTGTGACAGACGGGAACTTATTCCCTCAAGAAAACGCATGAGGTTGTCAGCATACTTTTTCATCGTTTTTTCAACAGTGACAGCCACATCTTGGTTGAAAGAGTCTTCTGGCTGGCTGTATGCACTGGGAGGAAGCACTGATGATCTCATCATTCTACTTTTGTGAATATCCTGCAGAAAATATATCAGAGCAAGCTTTGTTTATTGTATGTAACATCATTTTTAATTTTCATCATTTCAAGCATGAAGCATCAAAATGCAGCACTGTCTTACCATAACAATTTCTCAAACAAACATAATTTTAGTTACTTATATACAGAACCCTTTCATTATGATTTCCATTTTAAAAACTGCTATGCAACATGACCCAAATACTAACTTCCTGGTTCAATAATGCACTATGCAATACTAACACCATAAACACACAGATTCACTATTAATGAGGGTCTTCCATTTTTTGGCCAAAAGGTTCCTCCATTGAAGACAAAACGACAAAGGTAAAATCAACTCCCTTTCACAAAGCATAAATATACAAGCCCACCACACCTCCACAGAAAATAGCTTGTGCCCCAATAACAAATGAAGCAAATTTAACTAATCTCAGATCTCAGCTTCATATTTTCCAAAACATTGAAAGGCAAACAACCCATGATAACTCAAAAGAGGCAACCATTCCCCTAGGATTTGAAGTTTCGAACTTTAGCTTTTACAATAAACTACTCCTAAAGAGGAAAAGAAAAAAAATTGCAATTACAAGGACAAAGCTAGCTTTCAGTGCATCTCCATTTCTCCACATCTATGAACAAAAATTGAAAAAAAAAAAAAAAATCTAATCTTTCAATTTTGGATCAACTATAGATTTTTAATAAATACTTTGAACCTGAAAAATGAAAAATACACACACCCACTTGAGATTCTTTCATCGTTAATCATCCAAAAGCTGGATTAAACCCTAATCAGACAAAATCCCCAAAACAAAGTAAATATCATAAACAAAAACCAAAAAATATATATATATATTTCCAGGAAAGAACAAACACCTTGGCGGAGCTGGCGGTTCCGATCACAGGTTCACCGTGGCTCCCATTAGATGAGTCCTGATTGGCATAGTCGTCATAGGAACAGAGGATATCATCGGTGCCGAAATCGAACCCCTTGGAGCCGGAATTGCCCCGTCCCGACGCCCCAGATGCCATAATTCTTCACGGAGAGATGGGAATCCGTACAATACTGCGATTGAAAACCTTCCTTTACGGGAGAGAGACCAAACGATGAAGAAAAGGACACAAGGAAATTTCTTAGAAATGTTTTTAAAATTTTTTTTTTCCTTTATTCCTTTGGGAAGGATGCAGAGAGAGAAAATGAAACCTTTTTTTTTTAAGATTTTTTTTTTTTGGGTTGTGTTGAACTTGATGGTACTTATAGATAAGGATGAGCATGCGCCGACCA